TATTTCTCTAATAATTTTAAACATAGATCTTTCCTAGTCTTTATCCAGTTACTATATTTTCTTAATTTTTGAGCAGTTCTACATTTGCTGCCTGAAGTTTCTGCTGACTCTTGCTCATGCTAATTTTTTTTCCCATATGTTAGTTGGGATAGAATGCTATAAGCCTGAGTTGAGTTTGTGTCTTTCCAGAGAGTGTTGCCAGGAGTGTTAAGGGCATGAATGCCAGGGATCAGTTGTTATGAGGGGTCTTGTTAGATCATGTACGTGATAGAAAACTACAAATTCAAGTGAGGAAAGGCCTATGATAATGAAATTGAGGTCTTTTCTTTTCCCTCGTTGCTATTAACTCTAGCTCTCCTAGATTGTAAATACTGGAAGTCTTCATAGTCAGAGTATCAGTAGCCTGCTTACTAGTCGGGTTTTTAGTCCCCCACTCCACCATCCCACCTCTTTCCCTATGGGAATTAAATCGTGTGCTGAAAAAAATCAGACTGGAAGAATAGCTTGCAGCTAGTTGAGAGAAAGAGAGAGAGAGAGAAAGAGAGAGAGAGTGTATGTCTGTGTATGACCATATAAAGGGTGGTAAAAACTATAAAAGGCAGATATATATATATTAATGCCTTTGGGTAATAGAACCAGAAAATAGACTTTTTAAAATAGGCATTTAAATATACGATTGGACTTGTTGATATGATGGCTTACATATAATTTCTCATGGAATACGTGTCTTGTGTCAAAAGGGATGGCTGTAGCTAGTAGTTAGTTTGGAATTAATAAATCTTTTTATAAAAGGGAGTGCTTTTTGAACTTCTTCATTGCTTTGTTAATAAATCTCTTTTCAGTTCTCAAAATGAAAATAATTACCCCTATATATTTATTTTTATTTTTATTTATGACAGAATAGGTAACAAAATGAGAGTAGCTGTGATTTTTTTAGTCCTCTTTGTCCTACTTGGTGCATGCCAAAGCCTTCATCTCTTCACCTTTCTTCCTTACTCCTCTGCAGGAAACTGCTCTAAAAATAGCTCCAGTAATAGATGTTCTACACATGGTGAGATTGCTGAATCATTTAGTTCTTTCGTGAAGTTTAGGAATATGGAAAATAGTGTCTGAGCTGACTCGGACAAGCATCTTTCTCAAACGGCAAGTCTCTATTCTTTTGAAAAATAAAAAAATTATAATCCTCTCAATAATCTGTAGTAATTTTGTTTGTCTAACTTTTAAAGGATTATACTTTTAAAATACAGAAAATTGCTTTGAATCTTCAATTTTTTTTAATGTTTATTTATTCTTAGAGAGAGAGAGAGAGAGAGGGAGAGCACAAGCAGGGAAGGGGCAGAGAGAGGGAGACACAGAATCAGCAGTAGGCTCCAGGCTCTGAGCTGTCAGCACAGAGCCCAGTGCGGGGCTTGAACTCACTAACCGCAAGATCATGATCTGACCAGATGCTTAACCGACTGAGCCACTCAGACGCCCCACCTTTGAATCTTACTTCAAAAAATGTTTTGAATGTAATCTTAGAATTGTGTTTTGCTAAATATAGTAAATTTGAGACTGTGAGCAGACTAAACTACACATGAAATACAAATATTACCTTATATGTAAATATTTTATTTCATCTTCCTCTTCTCAGGTTGCTTCCTTGCAGTAGTTTCTCCGCCTGTGAAAATTTACCTTCAGAAAAGAACTGTTGGGAGGGTTTAACACTGTACAATTAAATAAACGTGCTGACTTTTCCTTCAAGTTACGAAGATTTGGCTTTCTTACATTAGCTTTAGCCCTCCACTTCTCCTTTCCCCATTATTCCAAAATAATTATATTTTTTTTGATAAGTAGATTGTCAAATGTTGGCCTCCCAAAATACCATTGGAATAACCTGTTAGTAAAGAGAAGTTGAGGTTGTTACTTAACCGGCAAGAAAAGCTCACTACCTTGACATAGTCTTAGTCACGTCTTCAAGGGCAAAGGCAGGATATTTATTTTTGAGATTTCTTGGGGGTCCGGTTTAAAGGTGCATCTGTCAGTGAAGGGGCTTGATTCATATTGATGGATTTATGATGTAATAGGTTGGGATTGTCTGGCAAAGAAAGATGAGATTTGAACATTGGACCTTGGTTTTAAAGCACGAGATGCCACCCTTGGAGTTCTTTTTGCCTGCCTCCAGTGGTGAATCCCCTTCCTGGATCTTAGGTGTTTCCATCTTTGTTTTCTCTCTCATATTAGAGGAGCCATCTTCCAGTAGCTGTCAACAAGTCTTTTTTGTTTGTTAGTCTTCTGTAAATAACTCACACACAGATAATTAATATGATAAATATGTTTTCTTTTTGTCTATGCATTACAAAGTGTATCTCAGAGTTGCTAGCAAAATCAAAAGCTATAATTTTCTTGTAGAAATGAAACCTGGAACAACAAAAATGATTGCGGGTAATCATTTTGCTTTTTAAAGTTCTGGAAGGGCTATCAACTAAACTGGTTATAGGGATATGTAGCTGAATTCTGAGTTTTCGTTTTTCAATCTGTTGTGAATATTTTTTTATAGCTCTATCAGGTAATGACGGCTAATGATGGCTAAAATTTGATAAAGACTTCTCCTAAAATTTGGTTTCATAAATGACAATAAATACAAAACATTATAATTTAATCAAGTAAACTTTTAAAAACCTGTCTCATAAATTATAGCCTGATATCATTTGAATTTATATTTTAATAGCAAAAACTTACATCTTGGAAGGTGTCTGCAGTCTCTGAAGGTGGTAGGCCAGAGCTAAAAGTGACAAGTGTATTTTTTTTTTAAGGCGCCTTGATTTAAAGGAGAGCCAGGCTGCCGCTTCTCACTTTCTCCTGGTTAGATGTCAACAAACAATGTTGGTGCCCATAAATATCTCGGGTAGATTTCAGGAAGAATTTGGGAGAAAAGATCCCCTGAGCGTACAGAGAGGGCTTTCAGTTTGGCTATGACTCCCTACTTGTAGAGACCAGATAGGAAGAAAGCTACCACTTCTTTGGAAAGTAGGGCCCCAGAGTAAAATGAGACCAACCGCTAGTCCATCACTCCTCCACTTACCTTCCAGGCACTTCTGGGATTATCAGGAGAAGAAGCTGGTAGAGATGATTCCAGAAGTTGGCCAACATTTAGAGCTTACAACCCACACTGGGGAATTTGGACGCCTTCCTGTTTTCTGCGGACTTATCTTTGGCCATGGTTGAAAAACTCTAAAAACCACCATTCACACCTATGGAACAGGCTTTTCAAGGGTGGGCCTGAGAATAGGAATGCCAAGTGAATGGTGCACATAGCCCATGGTCCGATGGCTGGCAACTGTATTTGTTTTATACTGCTTAGGATCTGCAGAGTTGACAGAGTGTTGGAGAGGGGTGCACAAGGGAAACCCCATGGGAAAAAGTCTTAAGCCAGATTCGTTTCTCCTCTACCCTCTCAAAAACCAGGGAGATGTGGCTCTGTCACAACTCCATCACTTTTATATTTTCTTTATATGGCAACCTTAAATAAATGAACCATTTTAGGAAAAGCTAGGCTTTGCTGTAATTTTAATTCCCTTGTCTTAATTCTTACTGGGGTCTTGGAAATGGTAGTTTTAAAAGGGAGGAAGGAAAGGAAGGAGGAAGAAAGATAATGACCTATGCAAGCAGTAAAACAAGTTTTGATTTGGGTTTAAATATTCGACACAGTAATATGTACAATGTATATGCTTGTATTAGCATTATTCAAACTCCTATAACTAGAATTATTATAAATGATATTGCCCTTAAAAATTAATAGCATTTGTTATACACCTGAAACTAATATAATGCTGTATGTTAATTATGCTTCAATAATTAGTCCCAGACACACAAAAAAAGAAGAAAGAAATGTGTCCCAACTTTTCATACTAACATATTAGTATTAACAGCAGATATTTTAGCTAGCTCATCATCCAGCAAATTAAAGTGAGTCTTTAAAAAAACTTTTTAAATGAAAAAAGAGAGAGAGAGAGAGAGAGATACATTTTATAAGAGAAGTGTCGGTGTGTAGAATTTTAACGGAAGTCAAGATAACCAATCTTGTCGTGTCTCAGCCTCAAAGGGCAGTATGTAATCCTGGGTCACCTTTCCATCCCATCCCCACCCTCCCTCTGCAACAACCCCAACTGTTCACTTTTTCTCATGTGCCTAATGAGGTTGTAGCCTAGGTAATTACTAAGTTGCTTCTTAAGATTCTATTTCTTCAGCATATGTCAGATTTTCAAGAAGTTTGTGTCTTTCCATTTGATGAAATTAGATGGCTGTGTACTTATTTTGTGATTTAAAAAAAAATCATTTGAGCCAAAACATTTCAATATTTGGTAAGGATAAAGCCACGTTTAAACAGCCATAGTTTGCTCTGGGGTGCTGTACCCAAACAGAACGGGGTAGATTTCCAATTGTAACGTCTGTTGTTTGCTTAGGTTGGAAATTGCCCTTCAGTGACACTCACTGTGATCTGCTTTTAGTTTTATGGGGAGATTGTCAGCATCTTGGTTCATTTGTAACTGGTCTATTTCCAAAGGATTGAGAATAGTGAGGGAAATGGCTTTGAAATTCTCGGTACTGTTGGGAAAGCTAACTGCATAAATTTAAAATTTAAAACATTTGAACAGCTTCCTTTTAAAAGTGATTTTTAACAAATGTTTGATCATACTATATTTGTGCTACGGTTGAAATGCTGAAGTAGCATTTTGGCTTCTTTCCCAAAAGCATGCTTAAAGAGGCTAGCAGCATCTCTCCCTGTTCTCAGTGCTTTTTACCTTGCGAGTGGTGCAGCTTGCTCTGCGGATGTAGTGAAACCCTCCCATTTAATCTGCAGTGGGGAAGAATGGAGCTCGGTGTCCAGTGGAAATCAATGGTCTAGCAAGGTTGCAGTAAACAGCAATGACTACATATTTCAACAGCCGAGCCAGAAGACGTTGATAATATTTTTTTTTCTTCCAGCTGATAAATTTTTGCTTTCTGTTTCCTTCTAGAGAGATGTGGATAATTTGCCCAGCCTCCAACGTCTGTTTCTCAGCTTCAACAATATATCTACGTAAGTGGAAACTCCCGATTTGTCATTTATTAATAACCTGATTGTGTGGGTTCTAGTGCTTTAAATGAGGATTATAAGTACCTTGGAAAATTTTCTTGTCATGGAAGATCTTACATTTGAAAATGACAGGGCCATATGACAAAGTTCTTGGTGGAAAAACAAAGCTCTGGTGAGGATTAGAGACTCTAATGCTAGGATGATGACATTAGCATAGCCTGTGCTTTTTATTTAATTATACTGTAGGGTTGCTCTTTCGTAAAATGTGTATGTGGAAATTTCAACATATATTTTGCTGTCCTTTGTTTGACACTTCCTGCACCAGTCAGTTGAATTAGAATTTCTTCCATAAATTGCCATCTACACTCCGTATAGCTACTAAGCAATTTGGATATAATATTTCAGGCTGTGTCACTGAGCCTCTTGCTAATTAGGCCATAACTTCTATCTTGTTATCCCTACTTAGAACGAATGCTGCTAAGAGACCGTATATTAGAGTATACACATGCATACATTTTGTTTTCCAAAGATTTGAAGCCTATCATCCTCACATTGTGATGCTGTCTCATTCAGTGTCAATGTGGAAGATTTCAGAACTGGTGCTGAGATAGGCAGACTTTTTGATGCAAAAGGAAGGACCTCTACTCCTTCCCTAATCCTTTCCTCCTCCTCCTTCCCCCAGCCAGTCAGTTTGAACTATGCTTTATGACTGCCTCTCTCTTCTCTACTTTTACCTCGGGGCTATTCTTTGAACCATCTTTTATAAGAGGGTAAGAACTAAGTGTAAGAGTTTAGAGCACATCTCTTCCTGAGCTCAAGGTCTATGCTTCTGATTATTAAGAACCAGTGTAGAGACACCTGGCTGGCTCAGTCAGTAGAGCATTGACTTTCGATCTCAGGGTAGTGAATTTGAGCCTCATGTTGGACAAAGAGCTTACTTAAATAAATAAATAAAAATTTTTAAAAAGGACTTTAGTTTTTGTGCGGTTTTGTTGGCATCTTTTTCCTCCCCTATCAGACCTAAGGGTTAACCCCATATCTCTGTACCATATCTCTAAAGGTTAGAGATTAAATCCAGATGGTTAACTTTGCACAGAGGCATTATTTCAAATACCCTTCCTCTGTCTCTCTTCTTCTCTTCTGTGGAAAAAATATTGAAGTTTTCTGACTTTTCATATTTTTTCCAGTTTGTGTTGAATGTGTTCCCGTGGTCTTATTGGGGAAGGTAGGGTTTCTTTTCAATAGCAGTGGAAGGGACACTTAATTTTCTTTGGGGAATTTCTACCTAAAGACCATTAGCAACTATTGTGAGAAGATAGTTTCTCATTCTTACCATATTCATTGTTTAAGGTGCTGGAAACCTTTAGATTCCCCCAGCTTATGGTGGAACTTATTACTTTTGCTTCTTGCCTTGATTATGGGGAGTAATTTAAAGAGAGATATAAATCTGGGTATATAGGGGCTCTGACGTTCCCAAGTCCCCAGGATACTTGAACTTCTGAACTCCTGACTATAGAGAGTTGGCTTGAATTACTTCTATTTAGGGAATTTTCTTCCCAATCTGGAAAAGAGTTTTACCCACTCAGCAAAATAAAGATATGACTAATGAGATTAATATCTTTCTTTTTAAAAATCATTTTTCGTTTTATTTCAGCCATGGTAGGTTTTCCATGAGCTGGGGAAAACTATGCTACTTGATAATACACCTATTGGGTCAATATACTACTTTGTAAGTTGGAACTCTAATTTTCATATCTCCCAAATCAGTTATCTTTTGTGCCTTAAGGAGAAAAATTCCAGAGAAAAATTTTCTCTGTCACATATACAATAAATCCCGCGGTCATTACCACATTGTTTTTAAGGAATATTTGCTTTGTAAGGGCAATTAAAGATAACCAATGCCATATTCTTCACTGTCCTTCTCCCTCTCTTTTAAGTTTCTTTAAAAAGCATGATTTCCCAAGAAATTGAGCTAGAGGTGAGTCAACGATTTCAGTGCTTTCATTTTCTTACTAATTGTTTTCTTACGTTTCTACATAGGCACAGCCCTTAACCTTCCTTTAGTGCTTCCAGCTCGTCTGCTTTTGAGGCTCAGCACATTTTCTGCTCTGTTCCTGTTGACGCCTGTGGTCCAGGACATGGTATACAGAATAGATTTGATCTGCTGGGGGAAAAATCAGAGAGTGCAAGCCTTGAAATCACTTCTGTTAGCTTTACTCAAGATATCTCAGATACCTGGGCCATCACATGATCTGTACTGATAACTGTCGTTTCAGGGCCCCAGTGCCCTGCCATAGTCCTGGCATAATAGAGTTGCCTGGTTTTAGACTTAGTAGCCCAGGAGTAGCAGAGGTCAGTAAGAGTAGAGACAGCGGTGAAAAGCTGAAAGTCAGTACCTTTTATGACTCCCTCCGGAAAACTCACAGATGATATTCAGTAAATGAAAGTATCCAATTGTATATCCATTTCAGGGAGACAAAAACATATTGATTGTTATGTGGTAGGGCTTCCTAGTTTTTGACCAAATTACTGGATTCGTAGAGGTCCGTTTGCATAAACTGTTAGGAACCTGGTGGAAATTCAGAAAGTCGCAAAATGTGATGGCATCCTATTGAATTCAGAGAATTCCAACATGGGACGAATAGGTACTTTAATGCTGTGTGTACAGAACCCTTTTTGTTATTTTTCTTCAGCTATTAGAAGTGCATCCAGTGCTTCCAGTAGACATGTAAGATATATTGAGAGGACAACTGACAGGTATCCATGTCTCTGTAGCTGAATAATACCAGTGTTTTTGGTTAAAATATCCCTCAGGGCGCCTGGGTGGCTCAGTCAGTTGGGCGTCGGACCTTGGCTAAGGTCATGATCTCACCATTCCTGAGTTTGAGCCCCATGTCGGGCTCTGTGCTGACAGCTCAGAGCCTGGAGCCTGCTTCAAATTCTGTGTCTCCCTCTCTGTCTCTGCTCCACCCTGGCTCATCCTCTGTCTCTCTCTCTCTCTCTCTCTCTCTCTCTCTCTCTCAAAAATAAATAAACATTAAAAATTTTTTTTCAAATATCCCTCAAAACTGAGGAAGACAGAGACACAAATAGGTTATTATATAGAAAGTTAAACTTAGCTGTGCTGATCTGTGGGGATATTCGAAAATGTAAAATCAGCCTGAGGATGGGAAGTGAAGAAAGCCTTCCCAGAGGCACGTGGTACCGGGACCCAGGCCTAAGTGAAAATAGGCCTTGGTAAAGTGAAGGGTACTTGGACATTCCAGGCAGAGGACACAAGCCGGGCAAAGTTGATCCAGAAGGCTTAGGGTGGGCGCACTAGGTCTGCCCTCTCTAGACTTGCCGTGTGATCCTTGCCTATTCTTTCTCCCTCCACCCCTGGGCCCTCCTCCAGCCCACGGAACCCGGGCGGGGCCTGCCGAAGTTGTTTAATGATGATCACCCTGAGAGTCATATTCTGTGCTTGATCAAGGGGATCCGTTGTACCTAATTCATTCTTCAGATATGTTCATTCCATCATTCACCTCTTCTTCTGAGGTGCTGTTTGTCTGGTTGATTTGTTTTTCTTGGCTCTCATGGTCTTAATTTCTAAGTACTCTGATTGTATTTTTCCTTTTCTAATGGCTTATTCTTATTTTATGGGTGAGAGAAAGTTTCCCTTGATTTCTAGAATTTACTTTATTCCCCTTGGAGTTAACCCTGTATTTGTTCTCCAAATAAAAATGCTTTCTTTCTTTTGTTTCTTTATTTCTATGCTTTTGTGATGGCAGTTCATGTTAACAAATGAGTCTGTGGACTTGTTTTGTCAGCAGTGGTTAAAAAAAAAATGCGTGCATGAAAATTATGAGTACGGGATCTCTTCCTGCAGAGGATGTAGGGTAGGGGGGAAGGAGGAGGTCTACCCAGTTGGACTTTCTTTTAGGATGTGCACAAGAAACTTGCCTTCTGGAAATGGGGGCTCCTTTTTCCTCTTGGCCGCCAGACTTTACCCAGAACACTGCCTTTCCTCTCTTGTCATGTTCAACCCGGGGACAGTTCACAAGTCAGCTACTCTTGAGAGTAAGATGCTGGAAAATTATTACCAAAGCCTTCAGTAATTACTGGACACCTGACCCACATCTGCTGCCAACACTTGCTGCCTCTGATCTAGGGAATATTCTGAGGTTCTGCCGGCAACACTTACAATGTAAATGATCCTGTTCATTTCAGGCTCTTTAGCAATTTGGGGTTTTACTGATTCCATCTGCTTTATATCTTCCAGAAATTCCTTAGTGTTCTGGTCTACTGATGGAACTCTTCCTGGTTTTGTAGTACTGCTATGGGTATTTTCATACTTTTATGTTCATTAATTTCAAAGAGATTTTGAGAGGGTGGAGGGAGGTAAGTGCATGTGCTCAGCCAGCCATTCTCCTAACTGTCTTTTCTTTGAGTGATTTTTCCCAAATAGGCTACACATAAAAATATCCTTGGAAGCTTTAAAATGACCTAGTCACTGGTTCACTGCTGGAACCTGCTGGGTAATCTTCTCCAGTAGAGTTGGAGGGGAGCCAGGGTTCTGTAAATTTTTAAGGTTCCTCAGAGTACTTTGATGTGTAACTCAATGCTAGATTTGGGAACCACTGAGTCGTGGCACCCCAAAATGAGAATACGTGTTAATTTGGGCATTACGCAAAATTTTCCTTCATGAAGAAAAGCTTCATAAGCAAAAATATTTGTTGAGGATAAGTAAATATTTGTGACCCACAGGAAGCAGTTTATGATCTTTGGCCAAAAATTATAGTGTTCCATTAGTTTCATCTCTTCCGCTGAGACGGTTACAGGGCTCTGCTCTTCATCACAAGGTCAAGTTGTAATCGATTCTTCTCTCCACTCTCTCTCTCTCCTTTCATTCTCCAATTTAGAAAGTTTTTACAAGCTTTAAAAAAAAAAGGAAGAAGGCTTTATGATTCTAGTGTCTCGATTGCCTAAAAGGGAATGGTTGCCATTGCTTCTAGAACTGAGGG